ATGACGTACATGTACATGTATGTATGATGTCACTATTATTAATTGGCTTATTTATTTTTTGCATTCCAGTGGTTGTCTAGCAAAAAAGAATGAAGACTTCATACTACTGCCTCTTGTTTTTGTCTTTGGCCTTGGCAAACACAGTCATCAGCGATGAGTATGAATGCTCTCATGAAGATTTACCTGAAGAAGTATATAAATATCCTTAGTGTGTGTATTGTGCTAATTTTTCTTTAAATTTGTAGTTTTTCAAATTAAGCAAGACACACATTAAAGATTCAAATAAGAGGACAAAAAATGCTGGTGGAAATGCTGCTTTTAATCAACCTATCCGTATATTTGTTCATTACAACTTTACTGCACATGATGGATCGTGAGTTTATGAGATTATATATATGCCCTTTAGCATGTATTAAGCACACAATATTATAAGCTAAATTTAGTGAAAAGAAATACCAGCTGTGTGTGTAAGTTGATGAAAGCAATCACAGCAGATTCTTTCTTAAATGCTTCTATAGTTTGAAGCAATGAATTAGGCACCCAGTATTACTAACTTATTCATTATTAAAAACCCTAAACCTTATAAACACTTGGCTACATAATAGCTTTTTGAGTAGCCTGTAAATGAATCAGGGCTAGCTGGCAATATTTGGAACTACATGTACTTCATGCACATAGGAAATTGGTGCATGCATGCAGATTCCATGCACTATTGCACATGTGTAAACTAACTATTGAAGTTAAGAAAATAGTGTTTTAAACATCATTAAACTCTTTTTATGCTGTAGATTATCTCAGCCTTCCCAAGACAGAGTTAGGGTATGGAACCATTTTGAGATTACTTTTTTATTGTGATGACATTAATTTTATAGACCACCCGCGCGTTAGGTAACACTTCTTTGAAGTCGGCAAAACATTGGGGTACACGTGGCCAGGCACACCCACTGGTTGGCAAAAAGCAAAATGGTAGTGAGCTGTTGTGCAGTTGGGTGTCGAAACAGGCATGGAGAAAGCAAAGAACTTGGTTTCTACAGAATCCCAATTTTGCCAAAAAGAAGGAGAAGGTTGTGGATAAATTCTATAAAGAGAAAGAACTGGAAACCAACTAAACATACACGATTATGTGGAGATCATTTTGTGTCAGGTAGGTCTTTTGATTGTCTCATTAAATCTAATGTAGTTATCTAGGAAGGCCAGTTGATAACCCTGCTGATGTAGACTATGTGCCAACTGTTTTTGCCTATAAAGCAAGAAGTAGTAATAAGAAACGAGCAATGCTCTCAGCCAAAAAACGAGCTGCCATCATAGCAGATGAAAAAGTGGTTGATGAGCAATTGGCTGCTGAAGGTTTGCTGCTTTCTGTTAACGAGACTGAAGTAATCAGTCCAACAACAGAAACACAAACAGAAATGAGCAGCATTCGATCAGTGTCAGTTCAAACATCAGACTTAATCAGCAAACAATCAGTGTCTGTTCAAACTGCCTCATCTGCTGATTTGCTAATACAGACAATGATTGTTCCTCAGCCAGTTCCTTACTGCTTGCCTGCTACTAACAAGACCCCTTTAAGTATAATAGAGGATGATGACGAGGCCACCAAGTTTAATACAGGGCTACCATCATGGTCATCTTTTAGATTTGTTTTGAAATTTATTTATGAATTTCAGAAACATTCCCCTCTATGCAAGCTATCACAGGCTGAAAGTCTTTTATTGACATTAATGAGATTGAGATTAAACCTGTCTATCACTGATCTAAGCTATCGTTTCTCTATTTCCAGTGATACAGCAGGTAGAGTATTTCAAAATTGTATTCAAGATCTATTTGTTAATTGGAAATGTCTAATAAAGTGGCCAAGTCAGGAAATTGCTCGTCAGAATCTACCACCTTCTTTTGCTGAATTATACCCTAATACTCGGTGCATCATTGATTGTTCAGAGGTGTTTATAGAGCAACCTTATGGTTACACTCCCAGAACGAAAACATATTCAAACTACAAGAAACATAACACTATTAAGTTTCTTATTGGAGTGACTCCTAATGGTTCGATTTGCTTTCTTTCAAAGTGTTGGGGTGGCAGAGCATCTGACAGATGTATCACAATTAATAGTGGCCTTTTGAATCTTTTATCTAGCGGTGATACAGTTTTGGCTGATCGAGGGTTTACTCTTACTGATGATCTGGCAGTGTTTGGAGCAAAGCTGGAGATACCAGCATTTACTTATGGAAAGAAGCAGTTAAGCATTGCAGAAGTGGAGCAGTCAAAGAGATTGTCAAAGGTTCGCATACATGTAGAGCGTGTTATTGGCCTTCTTAAACTTAAGTATACCATTTTGCAAGGGAAATTGCCTATCAATTTGTTAAAGCGAAAGAATGATTGTAATTATGCTTTTATTGACAAAATTGTTACTGTTTGTTGTGCCTTAACAAACTTGTCTCCAAGCATTGTACCATATTAAGACTATCATCATTATCACTGTTATTGATTATTTTATTATTATTATTATTATTATTATTATGATTATTATCATTGTATTGTGATTATATGATTATGAAAATGAAAGTATAATCATTTCAATTAATCAAAGTTTATAGACTGATATAGTGGGGTGAGAAGTTGGGAACTTAATTAGTTGCTTGCTCCTGTCTTGCAATTAGTAGAGCAATACCACTTTCCTTTTGGCTTGCATGAGATACCAACACACTTGTAATGGTACCATTCAATAGAACATTTATTGTTGTCACAGGCAATCATTCGCCCTTCATCTTTCCCACCACATAAACAAAATATTTCCTTTGATGATGACGCAACAGGTAATGAATCTTTTGATGGAACCACTGTATCAATAGTTCCCGTCAAAAGAACAGGAAGAAGAATCTGCAGAAAATAGGTATCTAGATGTGGTTTTAATTGATCAAAGAATGATTCAGATTTCAAGATACGCTCTATATATAACCCTTTTGGAGTCCATACAATGAAATCACAGTAATCTTTAGAGCAAATACTGAGCTGACCCTGAACCTGATAAAAATATTCGTGATCATGAGATAGTCCAATGATATCTCCTTCAATATTACGCTTAATGTAGAAACTAGCATCTGTGATCAAGTTAGGATCTAGGTGACGATACTTGAACGGACACTTGATCTCAATAAGACCATCTCCACAACAGTCACATTCAATGATACCATCAGGAGATGCGCCAAGATGTGGGAAATCAGGATTAACATGTAGTCCTGCTGGCATAAATGATATGTTACAATGTCCATCACTCATAGTATCAATGTATGCTTTGCGAGCAATTTCTTCATTTTCTATACCCCACTGAAGAGATGGAATTGTTGCTGACTTGGACGTCTGATTGCCAATAAAACTTTTCAAAAGAGATACTGATGGGGAGGAGATAGAAGTGACTCGAACAGCATGAAATTTTGATGCTGTTATCCTGCCTTTTCTATGTTCAAACCAGAGTGAAGTCAATGACTGCAAACGAGTAGCTTCTTCCAGGTATTGCGATTCTTCAGAAGTTATGGATAATTTATGGAATGTTGTCTGACATAGCTTCTCTAATTCCTCTTTGTTAAGAAGAAGGTTTTCACGTCTCTCAAGAGAGGTAAGTAAAAAAGGAAGCTTCCGAATGACTTGTTTCTTTGAGACTGTTACTGGTATTACAGATGACAAAACAACAGCGTCTGGAATGTGAGTTTCTAATTCTGAAAATAGTCGGTGTTCATGGTCTTGATCCAGAACAGGTGTAGGTTGTAGTGCTGCTGAACAACTATCTTCTTCTCTCCTACACTTTGGTCGTTTAAAATTAATATCAAGCACAGTTGATGGTGTTATCTAAAAATTAGATTAATTGATGTGAATTAATCCTTAACTGGCTTACTTTACTAACAAAACTCTCATTCCAAAGACATTTTTGAGCAGTAACAGACGTATGTCCAAGGCGTACAGCACATTCCACTTTAAATAAAACAGCAGCAACGTGAGAACAACTCTCACCCAGTCTATATTTGTGTATAAACATAAATGTATAGGTAAGGACACATTAACTCACCCAGCCATACATGTACAATGGCCACAAATAATTGTTCCATCTGGCTTGGTTATCACCCAGGCACTGTTAGCCTTATCTGGTGACTTTTGACTAGGATTCACAAGAGCTTTTAATAACACAAACTTTCTTCCTCCTCTTCCAAAGAAACGACAGAAAATTGTTCTGACATGTCCACTTTTGTAGTAGTTGTAGGCCTCTAGTTGTTTCCAGGACATGAGCTGCTCTTGCGTGAAAAGCCCAGGCCTGGTAACAAAGTAGGTGAAAATATGGCCAAACTCGAGATTTGGCCAGTTCCTCATCTCAGATGTGAAATGGACGTTATTTTCCGGTAAATAAGGGTCATCACTGATCACCAAACCAACAGATTCCAGCTTTGCAGCGTAGCGCTTTCTGGCATCCTCAGACAAAGACATAAAATACTCACTCCTCAAGCCAGCCAATGCAGTCATTTTGCTTTTTGCCAACCAGTGGGTGTGCCTGGCCACGTGTAACCCAATGTTTTGCCGACTTCAAAGAAGTGTTACCTAACGCGCGGGTGGTCTATAAGATTCTGCAGTTTCATGAGATGGCTAAGTATAGTTTTCCTAAAACATGCGTCCGAAAATGGGTGGTGGCCGATTATTAATAGTTTACTCTACTGAACAAAATCAGGCGATCATTTGTCCTACTAAACTCTAGACACT